CGTAGTGATTATCTCAGAGCATATATTTACACTGTCCTTGGACTTCAGTGACACGAACACCAAAGACAGGCATATTCTTTACCCGAAACAAGAACAGTAAAATGACAAGTGTTAATCCTAAAAGCTTTAAACACGATTTTGTGAGTAAAGAAGATGTAATGATATTCTGAAAAAGAATCAGCCTAAAACGTCTGGGGTATCAGAGCAGACTTGCAGTGCTAAATGTGTTGGAAAAAGCCAATCCTTAAGTTGACCTTACTGCACATCAATGTGTATAGAATGAAGAGTGACTGAGCTCTTGTAATGCATCCCTTATAGGAATACTCGAGGGACAAATGCATAAAAGTATTTCACACTGTTCCATTTTCATATTCATTAATGTCAAAACCAGAGCTTTCCAGTGACCTCGCTCTGCTCAGGACTATTATGACTAATGGAGCCACCACAGCCTCATCCTCCCGACCCTCATGGCTCACTTCTCCCGTGCTAATGCACACACAGATCATTTGAGGGGAAAAACCCCCACATCCATATCTAAGCTCTACCACTCCTCACTTTCTATTCCTTCTCATAACACAAAAGGGTAGGTGATTCTAGTTCAAGTGTGAAAGAGAGAGTTAAGACAGTCCCAGAAACACATCCTAAGACCTAACACATGCAACAAGATGTCTGAGCACAAAGCTTATTCCAGGATTCACTACTGAACTATTTCATGAGCATTAGGAAGTCAATGCTCTGCCATCCCACAGCTCTATTTCTCTAAAGTGGTAACAATATTGCCTTGCTATAATTTGCAGTTTGGAAAAACAAGGGAAAGCAGTAAAGAATTCATATTCTTTAGCCAAAGGATGAGAAGACTGAGGGAACAAAATCCTAAGTCTTTAAAAAGATACTCTGCAGCCTCCTAAGCTAGTTCCTCTTATGATCTAACTGATCTCACGGTTACAAGGTTCACCCCCCCGTCTAACATAACTTTTGCTTGTTGGAATTTAAACCTAGTACTTCTTATCTGCTGTATCAAGAACACGGAGAAGAAACTTGCACCATCAGACTCACTAAGTTTTTTCACTGGTTGCAGAAACTGTATCATAATATTGCATGGATTTTGGAGTTAATTTTGGAGTTTCAGTTAACATAGACTAGCACTATGGAAAATATTTAATATATCCTAGTTGCCTAGGGTAGAATTATCACCATTTGAGGGAAGTACCTCAAGCCTCCTTTATAGTTCATTAAGTGTTAGCCATGATGCACCTCATCTTCAAGATCCAAGCCTAAAACAATTCATAAAAGGCCCATTTCCTCTTCAGAATTTGGTGAGCATAGGCTTACTGTTTCAGCTATGATTACATATATACAAGAAACACAGACTCACAGAATAATTTCCTCTGCAAGGGAGCTCCAGAGGTCATCTAATCCAGCCCCCTGCTCAAAACAGGTCTAATAAGTCAGGTTGCTCAGAGCTGGGCCCAGTCAAGTCATGATACCTCCAAGGATGGTTATTTCACAAGCTCTGGACAAACTGTTTCAGTATTTCACCACCCTCATAGTAAAAGAAAGTTTCCTGGTATCTAATCAGATTTTCGTATTTTTCAACTTGTGCCTATTACAGATGTCTAAAATCAGATGAGATCTGACCCGTAATGCAATCAACAGGCTTCTCTCTTACAATATTGTGCTTGTGCTCACTTTTGTTGAGAGTCTTTGTAGCACGCAGAAGTTTTTAAACCTGTGTCAGTGAGTTCCAAGTATTAGCAAGACATGGAGTTAGGAAAGGTGTAAATTTTAATATTTCTGGAAAAGAAAAGTAATCAATTACCAAGTACAGAAGTCAAGGGACTCATCCACAAGATAGTTGGGTTTTGCCTTTCTATTCAAAATCCAAGAAAAAATCAATTAGAAACCCTAGAGTTCATTTGGAGGAGGTCCACTGATAACTGGGAAGACTAAGTAAAGGGAAATTAGAGTTGTTACTGTAGGACTACAGAAAATACAAAAAATGAGAGCTGCCCAGCAACTTCTGGGTAAAATCTATGCATTTGTAATAGACAAAGCTCATCTGCCTGCTTATAATTCAGGAAAGATCAGAGTGTTGTTATCAGTATAGCGGAATTTGAATAATAAATTTAGGTGGAGACCATCATTTGCACTTCCCATTTGGTTAGAAGGGCATCGTAACAGCTGTTTTTCTCACCAAAAGCAGCTGAATGGTGATATTATTTTTCAATTAATGATGTTACACTATGAATAGATTACCGCATGTAGACATGAAAACAACCACAATTAGTGAAAGAAATTCAGCGATGCAACAAACTAGGTTTTGGTTTGCATTTAATTGGAGGGTAGGAGAAGTCAGAGATGCAATAAACCCCCTTTGGACACAGTAAAATTTGTATGCTGGAGGCTCTCAAAACAATCCAAGACAGACTGAGTGAGCGGACCTAGAAAAAGCAAGAATTGGGAAATTGTAGAAGAACAGAGAATAAAGATGCAAAAACTTGGAGCAGCATTGAGAAAATCTAAGGGGATTTTGCTTTATAAATAAGAATGTAATTTTGCACTGAATCCTTAAATGAATAGTGATTTCAGTTATTTAGAACTGAAATGCTGTCACTTTATGTCTTTACATTGTTACATGCACTAAGCCAAGCTGTGTAATTCCACACTTGGTTGAGTGCGAAAGGAAAGCTTTTTGGTTTTACATTCCAAATCACAATAGAAGAGATGATACAAAAAGGAAAACACCCTTATGTTAAAAGACAGCACCCTACTGCAGTGATGCTTGTGAACTCCATTCCATATGTTAACTTGCATTTCATTCTATCATCTAAAAGCAGACCTTGGGTTTCCTTTCTCATGCCATTCTGCTCTGTTTTGTGCTCCTTTTCAAGACAATAAGCAGGTGAGCACACTTAGATACTCTCCGTGTACAGCAAAATATCATGAGTTCACATTCCAAGGACCCACTCCCCATAATCCACAACTTGCAGCTTTTCTTTCTTAAAAATTAAATAACAGACCTCTTTGACTACACTTTATACCCTTCACACATACATTGTTTCACTGCCTTGCCCTGGATCAGTGAATTGAGCTGATCTTTCTGTATCAGTCCCAATCTTCTTTGATTTTAGAAAACCATATTCTTGTGGTTGGTGAAATCAGGACTAATTTATCCGTCTGAACATTAATATGACCTCCCACTACCAAATTCTCTACATCCCTCCCTAAAACCCTCAAAAAAGAAACAATAAAATTTCTCTCTATTTTTGTTTCAACCCGTAGGAGTAACAGCCTTCTGAGTAAGAAAGGAAGAATACTCTAGCAAAGAGTGTGGGAACATAAAACTGCCAGAAGAGAGAAACCAGGTACACTTTGCCTATTAATTTCTAACATAATGGGTTCACAGTGGATACTTTTATATAGTATGAGAATGAAATGTGCAGAGAAAGACAAGCTCTGGTCTCATGCATCGACTGGAACACAGGCTAATCAGAAATTTTCTGTAAAATTTTTTTCCTCAGAATGCATCAAACTGTCATTTTGCACTTGCTGTACATTTAACAACCTTATTGTTAGTGAAAAAAAAAAAAAGGGGGAGATGTTTAACTGTCAGTGACAAGCCGAGGGGATGTTTCGGTTATTGAACTCTCCCTCCCAGGACCACTTTCTGTCTCTGCATTTAAAGGTTGTGGATGACACCAGCTCTTGCATCTTAACAGCACTGCCCTCCAAGTCAACTGCTGTGAGAAGTCTTTTTCACCCACAGTATCTCAGTATCACTGATGCTGAGCACCTGAAGACTGAAGACAGACAACCAGCATTTTCCTTCGTGAAATGGAATGCTTTATGCTATAAATTTCTGTAAATGCTTCCTTCACACCACCAGCTGAAGAAACAGTGCCTGAGCTTTCTGTTCTGTTCACCACAGTGAAATATGAAAGACATTCTGAAAAGCTGGGGTTGTAAAAAACATTTTTACAATACGGAAAAAAGAAAAACTTTTGCCTCCTTGACGTCTGCAAAGTGAAAGATGAAAAAACACATAAAACTATCCTAGAAATGCACACACTTTTTCTTTAGAACTTGAAAGACCAACACTATTCAAAAAATAATGTATAAAAATTCCATCAGGATTTGTGTGTCTTACAGTATTCTTCACACCTTCTACTACAGTTTATTTGCTTCTTTTTCTGCAACTACCAAAGACTTTTGTTATCCAGCTCATCTCTCAGTACCTACATGTTGGTCTGTAAAAGCACAAAAGATTCTGACTACAGAGGAAAAGAAAACACAAACATATTTTAAAACAGCCCACAACTCCATCTTTGTTTCTGTCTCCTGACCTGCATGCTATCAACTTCTTTCAATTTACACTTCGATGTCTTGCTTTACCTAGTCATTGTGTTGGGCTTATGTAACAATTAAAAAGCTCAGTTTTCCTGGGATTTTTGAAGAGAGAATGGATCCACATTTCTAAAAGCTTTGCAATGTATTTCTCATTTGAATGTGAAATTATTTTTTTTCCATTTATAGCACAAAAATAATATAATCTAATTTTCCCAAATACATGGTGTTGCAGATGTCACACAGCCTTAGAAACATCAAAATATATGCCATTAATACACCGAAATAACTATTTTCCTTTATACTACATTCCAGAGAAATACTTGGTATAATCAGTGTCTTTCTTTTACAACCTAGCTGATTTTTCCCATAGCATAGATTAGAGGTGTCATCTCTAAAAAAATAACTCAGCCCAGAATACCTAAAAACTTCCAAGTTAAAACGACTGGCAAGTTCACTAAATTTAAAATGGAGAATTATTACAAATATAGCAACACAATTGAGTGCTTTTAAGAATATATACAGAACACAGCACATTTTACAGCCAGACTAAACTAATAATTAGTTTTGACATTTATATTTTCATGGAAGTCATTCATGCAGTGTTTTAAAATGTTGGCAAGATATAATTTCTTTTAAAAAAGTTATAGTTTGACTTACTGGGAAGTACAGGAGAAGAGATCCAAAAAGAATGGTTTCCAACAGCACCAGCCCTGAAGCCCTGATACTCTAGAAGACAAAAACCAACACAAAATATTAGAAAATTCTCTCTGTGTGACATTTAAATGCTGGGTTCTTTGCAGAAGGCACCTTCACTTTTGTCAGTATAACACTTCCACAGTAAAGCTTATTAAAGCAGAATATTAAGCTGTCTGTCATACTGACATGCTCCACACTCTTTAATTCACAGGCCCATTAAAATGGTTGTGTTTTACAAAATCTAATTTTAAAAAAATCACTCTTTTCTATGTTAAATACTATTCAACACACAATACTGGGAGTTTCACACTTTGTGATGTCAAATTCCTAGCACAAAATTATAAAAACTATAAAAAGCATTAAAGGACTGTATCCCCAAGATTCCTTTTGTGGCCCTGATTCTACCATAGGTGGAAGATTCACTTGTTTTGATACAGTTTTTCTTCATAACATCTCTGTAAGACGACACTTTTCTCCTCGGGAACCAATGCAGAGGGCTCTGCCCAACACCACACAGGACACTGCCAGAGGTCAGTGAACTCATCTCTCATGATTGAGCAATACTCAAACCTTTTTTTTTTTATTTTATACAATGCATCTGTACGCCACAGAATGGCCAACAAAGTTAGTGACTTCATACAGGGGAGATGGAAATTATCTAAAACGTCTGGTCTTCATAGAGCTTTTGTGTGAACATCCTTTTCTAAACAAGTTTTCACATCCTGATCAGTCCTTCCTTACTGAGCTTTTTTCTGGATGGTACGCTTGTGAGAGAACCTGCAGGGGCAAAGAACTTCAGCATTTACAGCTTTTCCTCCAAAACAAGTAATAATCCATGATTTTCCTCTCACATGTGATTGGGTAGGGACCATTCTCTGTGAATTCTGTCTGTCCACTTCACCCTCCTGCCTTAAAAGAAGTGTGGTTTACAAAGCAACACTGAAATTCAAAATGAGCTTGAATCCAAGTTTTGACTGTGCTTTCATCTCAGTCTTTGATACCACGAAAATGTAGGTTTTAACCAATGTTTAAAGATATCACAGCTCTTCTTAACAGGATTCCTTATTAAATGGAGGAGACATTCTAGCACATATGGATGCTATCCACAGCGAGGAAGAAAAGCACAAAACTTAAAATAAGAAACAGTACAACCAAAGAACTATTTTTATATTAAGTGTAGGGAAAAAAAATAGTATGGAAATGGAAGTATGAGAATTCTCCCAAAATACATTTTTGAAACTTTATTTTTGCTACTGCAAAGAAAAACAGATATTTTAATAACTGATTTAAAAAATATATTAATTCTTTTTTTCTTTCATAGCAACCACTACATCCCAAGAGGTAAAGTCCAGGAAGAAAAAACTCCATCCAGCACTGAAGTTTTTACAACAGGAAATAACTAAAGAGGAGAAAACCAAAACTAAAGCAGGATGTTTTAAAATTAATTTATTAGATAAATGTATGTTATATTAGATAAACTAGTATTTCCAGCAGTCTCTGAGTGATAGTTGTTTGACCAAACACTAAATCTTCCACTGTACAGACTGCAAGTATGGGCCCCTCGGGCATTGCTGGGGGCAGCATCACAAATACATGACTTTATGGACATCTACAACATACAGAGCAGTGAAAATGACCATATAACTCAAGAAAAAAAGCTTTCTTTTTTTAAGAAAATAAACAAAAGAATGGAAACTAATGATAAACTAAAGTCTCCACCAGCCGTTGTCCACCCATACCAGCTGCACAAATAAAATTCTCTGGCAGAAATCACAGAAATCAGGGTATTTTAGGATACAGCCCTGAAATTTCATGCAGTGGGATTTTCTTCAACTTGCATGTAACATTTGCTCAATTCCTTCTTCTTTTCCTTAACAGTTGCTTGTTTTTTTTGCATCTGCCTTGCTTGTTGGCATTTATTTTGGTTTTACTTATTTATTTCTCTGGCTGTTCATCTTGTGTACAGTTTGTTTATTGCCACTTTGCCTGTGTGCTCATTTCCCTTTCAGGGTTTCATTTCTATATTTACTTATTGGTGCCAGTAAAACTGTCCTTTCTGGATGTCTTAGTCACACTCAGTGACACATATTGCTGACATCTCAGTGATACTGCACTTTATTTTGCCTCTAGTTTTGTACAAACTTTCAAACTTAATTTAGCTACCTATACCATCTACTTATCTAGGCTTGCAAAGGATATTGTTTGTGAAGGACTGATTTATGCCTTAGGATTTGCTCAGTCTTCCATCTACTCATTGTATCTAGACCACATTAGTAGCCTTTGAGGTAAACAGTCATTCCTTATCCTTCTATCTTAGAAAGTAACACCATTTCTCAGGCAAATCAGATTAAGAAATACCCCTGGGTATCGCTAAAGAGTCATAAATAAATGCTTAACATTTATTTGCATGAAGGAAATTTGAAAAATAAGCTGTCCAAGTTTCATCAAGTGTAACAAAATAAAGAGCTGAAATGATGTATAAATATGCATAGAAGATACTGCATTTCAATTCTCTATGGTCCTAAGCAGTCCAGGAAATACAGAAGCATTAATTACCACTGAATTCCTGAATGTCATCACACAAAGTCAGTGATATGAGTGTTGAAGTATTTTCAGAGTGGAGAAAAAAAGAAGAAATTAAAACCCAGAATAAAATTGAAGTAATCCTGTATCTCTTACATTGCATAATACCAAATTAACATAACTGAAGACTTTCGGTATCAGTCCAGGAAGACTGCAGATTCTTCCAGGGCCACATGTCACTGAGTACTATATGAGCATGATACCATGGAAACCTAATGAGGGGAAAAGGTTGGCATGTTTTGATTTTTTTTTTTCACTTTTGTTAAACAGTTCTGCCACTTCTGTAACATAAAGAATGACCAAAGAAGGCTGTGATTTAAAGAAAATTTCCTTTTGCAAGGATGGCTTCACCACAACGTGAGCTTATCATACAGATAAATGAAGCAAACAAAAAACTACAGGGACAAAAGTTTGATAGAATTCTTTTTTGATCTCAACTTTAAATACAATACATCCATATTTATTAAATTGTAAGGTGTATCTACCACTCAACGTAAAACTGGAAAACACATACGGATACATGACAGAATGGTAGAGAAGCGAGGAAATACAGAGAACAGGTCCAGGTGTGCTCTGCTGTACTAAGCTGATGTATTTGAAGTTACTAGAAAAATTACTATGCAAAACTGTCTCAAAACAAGTGCAATAAAAAGCTTAGCTAAAGGTAATATGTAATGGCAATATGCTTGCCCTCCAGTGCTCCCAGGAGGGCCCTTGTGACCCTTGTGGTGCAGATTCATTCTCCTCTATATGTGAGGATATGTGATGAGACTTTACTGGACTGTATTCCCAAATTTTTCCCTTACTTCCCTAAAAACCCTTCCTCAAATTCTTGTTTCCTAGTACAAGTGATTCTTTACTTCTTTTAAACAACAGAGGTGAAAAAAAGATTTTTGTCAAGTTGAAAATACATGGTCTGAAATGGAGCTGGTTGAAATGTTTTATTACCATTTGCTTTTCTTATTAAAATAAACCTTCCCAACAAAAAAACTTTTTTCAGTATGACTGTATTTTTCCTTTGATTTTCATGTGCTGTTTTTCTAAAGCCCACTGAACCTTTTTCCTCTCTCTTATTCCATATATCTTTTCTCAGCTACAAAGATACTGTTATCTTTTTCAGTGAAAGAGCTGTGTGGAAAACCTGAAGTGCTAACTCTGAGGAGTTTTATCTCACTTAAAGTTTACTTTTAAGAAACAGAATACAGAGATCCTTTTTTCTGTCCCTGAGGCTGAGCAACAGCAAGATGTTTGGCTCTTTGTCAAGAGACAAAAGTTGCCAGTTCCTAGACACTGATATTAAGAAGAGCAGAAAAGAGGGGAACTACATTTATTGTGGTGGTTAGAGGCTGCTGAGTTTTTTGGGCTGGATGTCAGGTTGAAGAAGACAGAAGTTCTATATCAGTCTGCACCTCAGGAAGTCTTCCATTATCCCCATATCACCATTGGTGAAACAGAGCTTAAATCAGTTCAACAATTTAATTACCTGGGAAGCATCATCTCCTCGGACAGTAAGATTGATGCAGAAATAGACAACAGGTTAGCAAAGGCATACAGAGCTTTTGGTAAACTCCATAAAAGAGTGTGGCAAAACAAACACCTGAAGAGAAGTACAAAGATCAGCGTTTACAGAGCCATTGTACTGTCTACTCTTTTATATGGATCTGAATCATGGATCATTTACCACCACCACTTGCGTCTCTTAGAACACTTCCATCAGCGCTGCCTCCGTACAATCCTAAACATCTATTGGACTGACTATGTGACCAACACGTCTGTCCTTGAACAGGCAGCAGTCACGAGCATTGAGGCCATGCTGCTGAGAACTCAGCTGCGCTGGGCAGGGTACATCTCCAGGATGCAGGACCATCGCCTCCCTAAGATCGTGCTCTATGGGGAACTTGATACAAGGACTGCCTGAAACAATCTCTCAGCCTTGGCCATATTGATCACCACCATTGGTCTACCCTGGCCTCCAGTCGGGAGGCCTGGAGACACATCATCTATAACGCTGCTGCTGCTTTGGAGAACACACACAGGATCACTCTCGAGGAGAAAAGATAACGCAGAAAGAATCGCGTCTTGTCGATATCACCTGGAGAGTCTTTCTGCTGTACGTTCTGCAACCGGACTTGTCTATCTCGCATTGGCCTTTTTAGCCATCAGCGCGCTTGTAGCAAGTGTGGGTAGAGCCCTTCTCAAATCTTCGTTTGCGAAGCCCAGCCATGATGATGATATCTTAATACTGTTCAGATCTGGAAGAGGGTTACTGGGAACTAAAGAATGAGCACAAAAGCAACTGGAAGGATTTCTTTGAACCCTCAGTGAGTACTGTCATAATTTATTGATTCTCTTGATAATAAATTCAGGGACTGATTAGGACTGCTATTCAGGAAAAGGGAACTGTCAATTTCCATAACAAAGATATGCTTTAGTTTTATTATTGTTGG